CCCCGATCAATGCAGGGCTTCGGAGCAAGATAAGCCGCCCAGCCAGCTGTGGTTAGCAGTGTCCTACTCTTTTTATCGCAGCTATTCAAGTGGTAAAACTCCTGAATCTGGTTTTGTCATGCGCTGAAGTTCCCCAAATTTAGTATTGGAAGCTGGAAGTATAAGAGGTGTTCCACATACACGGCGCTTCTCAGCCACCTGAGGTTTGAGCGTTTCTGTGGTGTTATCGTGCCAGAAAATAGATTACCGTGCCGTTTGTTTCTGGGTTGAGGCTGTTGCCAAGTCCCCCGCTGCCGATTTCAATCTTAGCAGTCTGCAGAACCAGCTTGGTGGTAGTCCTATACATGATCTTCCACGATGGTATAACTGAAGTTAAAAAATTGGTCGCCCTGTCAATTTCACCTGAATTCTATGCAGAGCATGTCCGTTTGATTCCCTGAGATCCCGAAACCTACAAGATTTATTTTAACGCCAAAGTGCAAACCGACAAAGTAAACAATCTAGGCGCATGACTTTCAGCACCTGACGCGAGAAAGTTCTTCATCACATTCAAAGTTTAATAACAGTTCGGGTGGGGAAGGTCAATTCGACCCGCAAATATTTTTCCAAAATAACTTCCAAATGGCGCGACGTAGTCGCGCCAAACTTTTCATGTCTGTAGGCGATTCAATATCCGATCAAATATCAATCGTCAAACAACCGTCAAACAATCAAAACAATACAAAATGATACAAAACTAGATGCACCATGCAAGGTGGCTGACCTATGACGGGTCAAATTCGGGCCATGACTATCAGCAAAGGCAGTTGTGAGGAAATCGTTAAATCTGATGCGGCAACGAAGTATTAGACGAAGCCATGCATCTCTGAGACCGTTTCATAGACAAGAAGACAACTGAGTTTTAGGATCGCAACTAATTCCGCCGACCTTAACTGAAGGATGAAGGTGAGACCGATGTCAAAACTAAATTACTTTTCACTTAAGACATTGCTATAAATGGCAATCTGTGACGCTCGTTTCGAATTTGTCGATCACAGGTACGTCAACAGATGTGTTATTTGGACTTCAGGACGATCAAAAGAGATTAATGACCTTAAATGACCCGGATTAAGATTTTGCTTGTAAAACATTCCACAAATCCAAACAATTTCAAAGTTTTTGATTCCCGTGATCCTCTGAAGGCCAAATAAGGTCACTAACCTAACCTGAAACCAACATCCGCGATTTTTTGCTTAGTGGAGGTATCTTTGTAAAGAGTGGTTGCATTAGGAGGTCTGAGTTCACTTATCACATCGGTTTAGTGTTTAGCATTGTTTGCTCTTATGTAACCCAAAAGCCATGACCTAGGGACTTAAGAAGTTGCAAAAATTGCGTTTTTACCGGAATCTTCGCCTTTAGCATGTAGATGATTCCATGTGTTTGTCTGTTCCGCAAAGCGCATGAAGATGTCAGTAATCGCTGTTACTGAGATCTGATCTGAGAGCAGTCCTTGGGTGACCTCTTCCACACATAAACCCACGATTTTGCTGATACGATTGTCCGTTTTTTCCTCCGTCAGAATTTGCCAGTCTCGTACCGCTTCCATGCCGGGTGGCTGAGGTCTGGACTCGGTTTCGGCCGGTGCTCTCCAGCTTTTTTGCAATTTGAGAACTTCCCCCCCCCCCTTTCCATGCCAATCAAACGGGAGAGTTACAGTCGTGGTGACATTGTCGTGCGGGAGGACACAACAGCAAAAAAGGTGCAAGAACTCAACGATGATCCTTTTTCAGATGATAACACCTGATCTATTGGGGATAAATTCGAGAAAATGATCATGCGGTCTCAATCAGTCAACATATTCTAGATATGCACGCGTGCTTGGGTACAGTTCTTAAATTTCGGCACAGAAGGATGACGCTTTCCAACAAACAAAGGTCGAGGGTTTTCTCTTAGGAATGCGTCTGATAGGTCTAATCCAGCAGCGCAACTCATAGATTAATCAGGGCTATCACACTGTGTGTGTGTGTGTGTGTGTGTGTTTTAGGAGTCACACTGCATTGTTGTCCCTGGTGTTTTCCACCCGTACCCGCATTTTGAATATTCATACACCGTTACATCATTCGCGACGTCACTCATCACAGGGTTCGCAAGTTGAGAGAAAAGGGGCTCGTCGTCAGCAAAGATCTTCCAAATCTGGGACTCATTGGTTAGGACAATATGCGTCTATAGTGCATAACATACCACTACATCTATTGCTTTAGTACCGAGTGCAGACCACCAAACTCAACCGTATAGGGTGACCTGAAGTAACGCCCAAGGCTAATAGATCAGTCATCATTCCGATCGAGCTAAAAATTGCTAAAAATGATGCATTGCTTGATTCAGCTCATCAAGTATACATAAGGTGACCTCATGAAAATCTAAGTGACAAGGGCGTTGGGCGCCGGTCGATACGCCACGAAGCGTCCGGATTGTGGACAGTGTAGCTATCCGTGTACCTGTTGTCAAGCCGTGTTAATGCGCCGCGTCTGCGGCGTCCGCCAGTGGCACCGGTGCCGCGCCTGGACGCCCACCGGCGGCGCCGCTGACGTACCAGGCGTAGCTGCTGGCGCCGGTGCAGCCGGGCGCCGAGCTGGCGCGCGCCACGCTGTCCGGCGACGCGCGGTCGTCCTCGCCGGCTGTCGAGAACTGGCTGACCGAGTGCCACGAGCTGAGCTGGGCGGTGCTCTCGCTGCGGGCCGCCGACGGCCGCCGCCCGCTGCTGCACAGTCGCATCGGCTCCACCACGTCCAGCTCGCCGCCCGTCGCAGCCATCGCCACCGCAGCGGCGCCGCCTGCTGAGGCGGGGCGCTGTTATAGGGCTGTGGTCGGCCTTGCGGCTGGATGGCACCTGGCACATAGCATCGGCATGCTGTTATAGGGCTGCGGTCAGCCTTGCGGCTGGATAGCACCTGGCGCATAGCATCGGCATGCTGTTAAAGGGCTGTGGTCGGCCTTGCGGCTGGATGGCACCTGGCACATAGCATCGGCATGCTGTTATAGGGCTGTGGTCGGCCTTGCGGCTGGATGGCACCTGGCACATAGCATCGGCATGCTTGCATGGCAGGTTTGCGTCCAAGTGTTTGATGGCGTCTTTTGTATTGTTGGCTGCGTATGGGATGCAATAACACGCAATTGCATGTGACACAATAACAAGCTGAAACAACGCATACGCATTGAGTTATTTCAAGCCAACTCAGCCAGTCGAGTACATAACACCATTCGAGTACATAACACCATTCGAGACCTAGATCAGGCTCTGATCGCGGTTCTGAAGCTTTCAGACTTCTACGTTCAGCGATTTTCTGCCGGTAATGACGCCAGTAAGCTCACTTTGTGAAAATTTGAGGTTCCTAGGTCACCTAGGTACTTTTGGGTCAACAAATGACAAACCAGGTCAAACCCTGGATTGACATCCAAAATGCCCCCAGATCTTTTCATGCAAATACCTTGAACCTAAACACCTGTTCTAAGCAAATGGTCGCTGGTATCAAATTTAGGTCAGTTACCTTGCTTGACCTTGAGAAGACCATGGTAACCAACAACTTATGAGATTGTCTTGATTTTAGAGCTTAGAGAGCGTCAGAAATTACGCAAAGTGGCAGGTTCCTTAGAACAAAAGGTCAATCTGGGTCATTTTAGGTCAGTGACCTACTTTAACCTTTAGGAAGTCCATGGAAAATGCATGTTGCGGCCACTTTTATTAATAAATTTGAAATGGGCATCAGAAACTTTCCCAAAAAGCAAGCTCTCCAGTAAAACAGCAGGCTGGTTTTGACCTCGGTCTGACCTTCACACCTGGACCAAGCTCGATGGACTTTGGCGTTACCCTAAATGCAGTTGTCTAACTGCGTAAAGAAGCTACCTCAAAGATGAATAACTTTGTGTAACACTCTGTTGTCGCATCAGACTGAACAATCCCTTAAACATTGCCCTTGATGACAGCCACGATCTGACTTTGACCTGCCTACCTATGCAAAGTTTGGTGCGGCTACGCTGCATCTTTCATCGACAATTTGGGAAAACCTTCGGAGGGTGCAATGAACCCCACCCGAACGCGTGTTAACGTTGGAAGGGGGGGGGGGGGGTTGGAGCCAATCCTAGGGAGCTGGAACATCTCCAACTGAACATTTAGCTTAATCCCTGGCGCCATCCTCCGTGGCAAAGCTAACATAAATTGTGGGTAAAATCTGACAAAAGACGTTTTAAATATGCTGTTTCTGGAAAAGTTGTAACACCTTATAGTAGATCGACTGGTTCGAAGCACCCTAGCGAGTAAACATGTCTTAGTGAAACCCTGCTAGTACATATCCCGGTGGCACCAATGCAGCAAATCTAGAAAATTAGACGGGTTTTAGCGTTTTGTTCTTATTGATATGCTTGTCATCAACTGATTAATTCTCGAAAGCGAACAGTGGCAAACAGGGAGCTTTTGGGTGTCAGGTCATAAACCTCTGTGGGTCGCTTTATGTTCAGGCTACGTAGGTAACCGGGTTAACGAGTGGTCTGGTTTTTCAGAGGAATGAACGCACCATGCGGTCAATGCGCGCACATGCCAGTCGATCCAGACAAAGCTCACGCTGCTTTGCTCACGCACGCTGCATTGAATTAAAGCTGAAGCGATGTGGGGGAAAATTGGGTGAGTAAAAAAGCTCATAAGCGCGAAGCTGTCATTTTTCAAGCAATGACGACATCTGTCTGCCGTCGTCTGTTTGGATCTGCGGGGAAGGGGCCGACTATCGCCAGTAGCGTGGACGCCGGTCGGGTCACTCCGTGGGGGCTGAGTAGAGCGCGGGGCCGGGACCGCCGCGCCGCGCTGTTTGGATCTGCGAGGAAGGGGTCGACTATCGCCAGTAGCGTGGACGCCGGCCGGGCCACTCAGTGGGGGCTGAGTAGAGCGCGGAGCCGGGACCGCCGCGCCGCGCTGTTTGGATCTGCGGGGAAGGGGCCGACTATGGCCAGCAGCGTGGACGCCGGCCGGGTCACTCAGTGGTGGCTGAGTAGAGCGCGGAGCCGGGACCGCCGCGCCGCGCTGTTTGGATCTGCGGGGAAGGGGCCGACAATCGCCAGCAGCGTGGACGCCGGCCGGGCCACTCAGTGGGAGCTGAGTAGAGCGCGGGGCCGGGACCGCCGCGCCGCGCTGCTTCGCCCGGCAATGATGTCATCCGCGCTCGGCGAGTTGGTAGCAAGTCCCACTTTTCTTTACATGGCTTCCCATGCTGTCTTGAACGACTGCCCAAATCGACGTTCCTAGCAGATCGAGAGCGTTAACAATTTAGAAATTGCGTTCCTGTGGGCGAAAAGCAAAGTATCCCAGTGATGGTGACGAAAATTCAAACTTTCTTTACCTCACCACTTAGAGCCTTCCATTGGCTGCATTTATCGAAAGCATGTGAGGTGGTAGGGAGTTACCATCTTCTTACCTAACGCATTCCGTCATTACGCCATTTTCTGACGTCATCGCCGACGGAAACCAGTCTGTCGCAGAGGTCTGACAACTTAAGAATCGTGATCAGGGCAGAAAATAACCATAAAACCTAGTGTCACCAATATCTGGGATGGCGCAGTGCCACATCGCACCCTTGCTGGCTGAGCTGATGTGGAATGCAGGGCTGATCGACTGCCTTGCGCTGCGCCACAGCTGCATTCTCGACATACTGCCATCCTTTCAAAGGGACATCGCAAAGGTAGCTGACCAGATCCAGATCTTGTGAGACAGTTTCGGTATATGGTATAACATAAGCCGCGTCGCACAGAACCGATTCTGGTATGACCAAGAACTAGCGGTGCTAGTGTCGCTCTGACGCGACACTAGCACTGCAGGTTTAACACGTTGGTGTAATCTTTTTACCACTGAAAGTCGCCTCACTTCACTCTGAATTTCTGGAATCCCGCGTACTTTTTGCATGCCACGTACAATTCGTCCAAAGAAAGTTGGACAGCGTGACTGTAAAGCCATGCCCTAATGCGCGTGGGCAATACCAATGACGTCCGCCGAAATCTGTTGCCGCGACGACTTCAAATCAAACGGGCGACTTCTACAGCCGTCGAGGATCGTCACGAGCAGAGTTGCCAACCAATCGCTGACGGCGGAATGAAATCTAGCCATTCACCGTCAGGCACGTTACAAGTTTGACCAATTACCATTCCCCATGTCGTCAGCGCTGTCCGTTGATTAGAGGGAGCGTCCCAACTTTTGGGGCATATTTCAAAAGCATATCTAGTAAAACCTCAGGACTAGTTACGTCTAATAAAAGTACTGCGTAGTGGCACCGTAACATCGTCAAGACAAAATGAGGGGATCAATTTTCATTATTTTCGAGTCTAAATTGCGCTGTCAGGGCCTTATATTACATATTACGTCAGGTATTACGCTTGTTCCCAGCAGTGGCGACTATCATCGTCATGACAGCTGCCGTGCACACCTATTCTGGTGCGAATCAGCGGGAAAAGCCTGCTCCAAGAAGCTGGTTGATCGAAGTTTGAACCAGTGCGTCACATGGATCATGTAATGTTCCCCTTCAAATTGCCAAAGTGCGCCTTGAAAAGAGCCAGTGAGGTGAATTCATAAGGAAGAAACAAAGCCATAACGTTTCGTTGAATTCGCGGAATAGTAGCGTGATGTTCACCTGTCTTTTTGTCTAAGCAGTGTTTCAAGCTTTCGTAGCATTTGTTACACAGACGTTTTAATACGTTAGTGTGGCGCAAACATTACAGAATATATATGCTGGAAAAAGTAAGGTAAACAAAATGTATTACTTTCATAGTGGTGAGCAAATAATCAAATGAAAATTCTCCCGCAGGTTCGGCTACCTCAAATGAAATCTTTAGGCACTGAGAAGGATTCCGAGAAAACTGGTATTGCCGATCCAATCGTACGCGTCTGAACAAAAGTCAAACGTACACAAAGGTTAAATGCTTCCTTTAATGTAAACGAGCGTGTACCAACGCAGCAGCGACAGATATGGTCAACGAACAAGCCTAAGAATAGGTGGGATGACGAATGTCTCACACGATTGTACTGCACACAAAAGAGGACGACTGATTTCATAAGACAGGGCGAGGTGAATAAATCCAGATGGGGACAGCGTAACAAACAGCAAATCAATGGCACGCACCAACCACAAACCTACGTTTTTTATAATTAACCCATGACACTATCGAGAATCATCAGGTCAACTTTGTGAAATGCTTAAGTTGCAGTGCACTATTCCACAAGCTCCGATTGCTTGTTTGCTCCGATTGGATTCACCAGATGGCAGGCTTCGGTGACTGAACCGGACCGTTGATTCACCTAACCTGACCGGGGTTGGTCGGACGTGCGTGCCGGCCTGGCTCGACGCCCGCGTCCTTCTGAGTCGGCGTCTGGGTCGAGTCTGCGTCCGTGTCTGCGCAGCGGCGGTCCGTGCCGGCCTGGCTCGACGCCCGCGTCCTTCTGAGTCGGCGTCTGGGTCGAGTCTGCGTCCGTGTCTGCGCAGCGGCGGTCCGTGCTGGCCGGTCGACGCCCGCCGACACTCTGAGGCTGCCGAGGAGAGGCGCGGAGGCCGCGGTCTCCGACGGCTGTCTGCGCGCCGACACCGGACAGGGCAGACCGTTTCTTCAATGTGACCAATTGTCTTCTGTAACGTCGTTTAACCACTGCCTCCTGGTAAGACGCAGGTCGATTATTTTCAGCGTGAAAACTTCCAACTCGTCAGCCCGTAACGCTAAGGCTCAGGATCTTCTGGCTTATATCAAGTTCCAACATGTGCCAAAGACGTTGGTCAAGCTATATTTTAAGACGGCCATTCTGAAGACCCCTTTGGTCACCAGTCTTTAGCTACTCTGTCCTTCCAGTTAGTGACATGTCTGCTGAAAAGCCTGTGCAAGTTCGGTTGTACTTTGATTGTACAGCGTGGCGGTGCCCCAAAATTGTCCATAGGCTCTCGCCAGTACGGGTCAGGTGAGGGCGGCGCCACCAACTTCTGATCGAGGGAACGAGATCAAACAACCCTCACTGTGATACTTGAACAAGCACGGGGGAGAAATTTTGCTTTACGTAAATGGCGTTCTCGCAAATGATCATTGTCATGTAAATTCTTCCTGTGCTTTGCGCTGCACCACCGGTTGCAAAGAACTGTCACAAAGCTTCTTCACCGCACAGTGCATACAACCATAAGACCACTCGAACACGCCATGTATGTCCCGATCAGTTGCGACCTACATGTGTGGTGAGCCTCCTGAACCCTTAGCCAGGAAGAGGGGTCAAATTTGCTCCCTGTCCAATGGTGTCCAATGCTCCCCTTGTCCAATGCTGCAATTCCCCGTGTCCAATGCTCTCCTTGTCCAATGCTGCAATGCTCCCTGTCCAATGCTCCCCCTGTCCAATGCAATTGCCTTGCGATATCGCTACATAATTTTTAGAAGCTGTCAATTTATGAGTCCTACGCCTTGCGCTAAAACAGCTGTGAGATTTGTCGGATCGATGAAACGTGAGTGGAGCCAGAGTTACGTCACGTTTGCCGATCTTTTGGCAAAGGCGCATAGCCGTAAAAAAATTGACACATAACCCGAACGAAAGAAAACATGTTTCATCTGTAAATGGAAAACGTAAGCCAACTAGTCCATCATTCATATGTCTCATCTTTATGTTGTTTCAATATTGCACATTGGCATGTCATATAACAAAATCATTGATAAAGGTACATTGATCAATTCCTTGGTCTCAGACTCAAAATTCTGAAAGCGTCCTAGATACGATCTTGGATACGACTTCGACCATAAAAGGATGCCTGTACCAAGTTTCAAACAGCTATCTGCAACAATAACTGAGTTATGGCTTGAAACGCACCCCAGCGCATACTGCCCGCGCCCAGTTGGGTCCGGGCCCGCGGCGGTGGGCGGCGAGGCTCACGCACCCCAGCGCATACTGCCCGCGCCCAGTTGGGTCCGGGCCCGCGGCGGTGGGCGGCGAGGCTCAGGTCGGAGCGGCTCAGTGACGCTGCCGTGGGAGCCGTTTATCAGCTTCACACGTAAACCTATGTTCATGTGACTGGCATCGGGGCTGAAGGGTATCAGGTTGCGCTGCCTGCAGGACTAAACCGTCGAAAAAAAGAAGAACTGAACGTGAGAATCGACTCAGCCGCTTATTCCCTACCGAGTTCATCCATTTGACCCTGACCCTAGACGGGTCATAAGCAAGCATCAGCTCTTGCTCGCGTGTCCT